CAATTAATACCCTTTTTAGGCCGCCCTGGAGCTTCTCTGGCCGGCTACCTTCTCTGGCCAATTAATACCCTTTTTAGGCCGATTTCTACGATTTATTCACCCCGCAAAAAAAGTCTCGTGGAGACTATATTCCACCATGTTACGACCCTGTTGCTGTAGAAAAACAGCCTTTTGTTGTTGTTCACTTATCTTTTGTTTAAGCGTAAACTGTTCCCTCTTGTTCTTGTTTTTTCTTGTATTTTTGGTAGGCAACCCTCTGTGTCCAGCTTCCCATGAATGTATTTGTAGGTCATAATTACGTGTAGGTAATAGGTACTATTACGTGTACTCAATAATAGGACAAATATGCAAGTCAGGATCTTATTTGCATGATTAATGAGTAAAGTCTATTAATTTGCTGCATTCCATGATAGGTCTGTTCAAACTTGTGACACGTGTAATTGAAAACGAGAGGAGCATCGGCAGATATTGATTACTTGAATTAATACCTAATTTGCATAATCAATGAGAAACTGCCGGGAATTTCATACATGCGGCATTTGGAAGTTAAGAGAAGGTGAACACCATTGAACATAATTGATTAAACATAATTAAAACCAGGAGCCATTTGCGTAATTTATACGGAAATGCTAAAATGGTCTTCCTTGTTAAAATAAGACTGACATCGGGTGGAAAACATTATCAAGTTATATCAACTGATGTAATTCATGTAAATGAAGATCTTATTTGCATAATCAATGAGAAAGGTTCGACGTGGGGTCGTGTGGCGTAGCGGCAGAGTGCGCGACTAGGAACTGAGTCCCGGATTCGAGTCCTGACATGCCACCGATCTTGTGCCTTGAGAAAGGCACTTTACACGGCTTTCCTCACTTAGCTCAGGTGTAAATGAGTATTGTCCTGTCATGTATTTGTCCCCTGTGTTGGTGGCGGCATTAATATAAGTTGAAAAACTTGAGTGTGTCGTCACCACGTCTGGTGATTACATGTTGGAATAAAAAAAAAGGTTCGTAGAGATTAGCATCATTTGGCGAAGTTGTGAGAACCATCGGTTGGCAATATAATCATCGACAGGAAAGTTCCATTCTTTGTACAGATACAGATGGGTTAGCAAAGGTGATACTGAAGGTGGAGAACGCCGTTGACCCAGACTGGCCCGCTACAGTAAATACCGTAGTGCTGGTTCCTCCGGGAAGTTCTGTCTACCACATGCTACTGCAGGCATTCAAAGACGGCAAGATCGCGTAAGTCTATGGTGTAAATAACGTATCGAGGGAAGGGGAGGAAGATTGCAAGGGATTGAGATAATAATACGTTTTATTGCAAATTCCTTCCCGAAGACTAATTGCAATTAACAAGGATAAAAGAACAGAGTACAAAATAACTTCAAAATCTACATAATGAAAGGTACTGAAACTATGTCTAAAACTCTGCCTGAACGGTTTACTTTGATGAGAAAGATCGGAGATACATGTAGAGATGCATGTGCCAATGGCAATGGTAAAGACGTTTTAACGTTTTAAAAATGTTACAGGTACACCGTCATGGTGCAAGTAAACCGTCATGCTATTAGCTTCGAGCCCTTGCTACCATGTATTCGCTTCTTCTTTTAAAATTGACCTTTTTGCTGAACAAAATAATTCTTATCAAGTTAGACATGATTGTGGGTGTGGTATCCCGTTTAACGAAAAAACCAATTGCAGATGATTAGACTTTGGCAAAGGTTTTGATTAAAGGCAACTGTTTTCTTCATTTGTAGGTTTAACGCCAGTTGGTACGGCCAGTACTGGTCCCACTTCATCGATTCCCTCAACGGCTTGAAGAACCAAGGGTTTAACTATTGGAACTTCCAGGACGGGGAGGGAAATGAATTCGATCGCGGTAAGACACAGAGAAACATGTATTTATGTTTACCGAAGGAAAACATATTGTTTTTGCTCCGTTTCTTCCTCTTCTTCTTCTCCAAACAGTGACCTCTGACCTGACCAATGACCTGATTTGTTGATGTCTGTCACCATGGTAACTGGTGTTGGGTTACATAATGTTGCAATTTCATGGTCTGCTCTGGACTCCTGTCACCATATACTTTATTGATGTGTACGGCTACAGAGTTTTAACATTTCTTATGTTATCTCCCATCAAAGTTTGTTTATATCTTTTTACTCTGCCGCAGGGGTGGACCTGATCTCCGTGTACGATGGGGACGTCATCAAGTTTCGCTACGTCGAATATTCGCTATCATTTGAGTAAACACAGCGTTGGTTGCTTCGAACAGATCCTTTGGTAGATCCAAAGTCTTAACTAACTTGGCCAATTGATACTGTCTGGTCATTTTGATGGTATTATCGTGAAAGTCCATCTGTGTTGGTAACGTCATTATGCCGTAAGTTACTTAAGTTCGTGCTTAAGTTACCTTATTTTAATTTGCCCCTTGATTGTACATAAGTTTTCTTCAGTGATTACTTTATGTTGCATTATATTGTTATTATTTTATTGTGTTTGGGGTTTTGCCCCCCAGGGTGCATTGAAAACCGCCCTCCTGGGCGATATGTTTCTCTGGTTAATAAACAATAAACACACAAGCAAACAAGTTTGAACCGTAATTTCCAACACAAAGAATTGCACTGAACCAAAGTTTCGACTATACGAATTCAGTCAGGGAATGAGCAATCTGCATAGCGTGACGTCACGGAAGCGGTGGATTTCTCATTCCTTTCCAAAGACTGGAGTTGTACCACAAAAATGTGCGGGTAAGTCCAATTCTTTGTGTTGGAAATTACAGTTTAAACGGCATAATTTGATGGTGTCTTGTCTGTTAAGATCTGCTAAGAGATTAAGTACTGGCTTCTGCGCGCGATGACGACAGTTAGTCTCAACTCCCTCCGGCAGAACACTGCATTAATTTCCTTTACTACCATTGTAAAGTTCGATGCTCTTTAGAAAGTAAACATTACCCAACTTAACTGGCATTTACTACCATTGGTAAGTCCAACTTTTCGTGCAGTGGAAGGATCAACGAATCGCCATTCAACATTCTTAAATTTCACACACTTTGCATAGACTGCTTTCTCAGCACTCGTAATTGCATGTACTGGTCTGTGTCATTGGAACTATAGAACACATTTACATCCATACCAAATAGGATGTGGTTAGAAAAGTCATATGTCATCAAGAATTTGTTATCTCTTGTCAGTCCCTGGTCATTGGTTCCTTTTGGCACATTAAATAGCGCAATAAGCTATGGTGGAAAATAAATCACATTGTGCTATATATGTTTGTGATAACATTTTTTTTAATTGTGGTTCACTGCTCTTCTGAATTCCAACAATGATCAAACGTCCGAAAGAAGATCACACAGTGGTTTCACGTTCTGGTACCAATAAAGTCTCATTCTCAAAGTTCCCCCTCACTGTTTGTGGCGAGTCCGCCGGCTCCTCCGTCGTGTCCGCCGGCCGTTTCTTCCTGAGCCGCAGGAGGAACGGCAAGAGCCCGGCCAGCAGGAAACCGGCGCCGGCTTGGAGGAACGTGGCGTCGTAACTTTGGGTCTCGTCGAACAGCCAGCCTGGGCAAACATACAGGCATTTAGCTTTGTGAGTGTGTGTGTGTGTGTGTGTGTGTGTGTGTGTGTGTGTGTGTGTGTGTGTGTGTGTGTGTGTGTGTGTGTGTGTGTGTGTGTGTGTGTGTGTGTGTGTGTGTGTGTATGTGCTACTTTTTCTGAAACTGATGAGAAACGTTACCTTATGATTTTTTATGAAACACGACAGGCCAGATAGTGCTTTCATAAACCATAAAAGTGCATCTCTGCTGCATAGTAGCCTCTATGAGCCAATCTATTGAAGACGATCAGAATGACTGGCCGAAAGCTCTGGGTGAGAACAATCCTTTATGTTGAGACAAAAGTTTTGACTTTAAACCGGCCAAAAAGTAATTTAGTCTCATGAATTTATGTAACGAACTCGCTTATAATCATGAAATGCTAGCGCTGATCCTTGGGGGTGGAGGTCTTGACAGAATGCCTTATTTAGAACAAATAAGGTCCTCTTATGGACTTACATATTCTTGTATATCGAAATTTTGCAGGCTAAGATTACTCTACACTCACCTGCAAATGGCTGACCAGCCAGCGATGCGAACCCCTGTATTGACATCAGAATTCCAATTGCACTGGGAAGACGCTTCGGGTCCACCAGGTCGGCCACACAGGTCAGTAGCGTCGGGGCAAACGCGCCGTAGAACGCCCCGTGTGCGATAGCGTACGCCACGAGCGCCGGGTACGTCTTGGCGAGGGGAGACAGGAGGTTGGTGATGCCCAGCAGGCACAGACTCAGTCCGTACTGGTCAAACCGGCTGAACCGTGAGTTGTCCGGGATGGCCCCGACTGCTAACCGACCGACCATGTCTGCGATAGCGATGACTGAGAGAAGGGACGCCGCCGCGAAGTCCTCGATCTGAAGCTGCTTGGCGCGAGGGACGATGTAGAGCAACGACGTAAAGATGGAGAACTGCATCAAGAACAAGGACGACAAGAACAGGGCCACGGAAGGTATCAAAATCAGCTTCAAGTCAATCTGTGCCCAAAACGTTTTTAGAAAATTTGTCGCAGCTGACGAACACTTCTTTGCCGTGCCAGGTTCCAAGGCTGTGTCTGAGTCATTCATTCTGTTGTCTTCAGGACCATTTTCGACGTTCCTGTCTCTGTAAGCTTCGAGAGGTCTGATCAAGGCTCCTGCTACCACAATATTCAGCATCATGCCGCCTATAATGAGAAGGGCGCCCTTCCAACCGAACTCGTCCATCAGATACTGAAAAAGTGGCGGAAACGACATGGAGGCAATGCTAGCTCCTACCGCGGTCAGGCTGTTGGCCATGGCTCGTCTTTTGGTGAAATACTGCCCTACAATTCCCAAAGCAGGACTAAGAGAAAGCGCATATCCAAGGCCTGTTTGGAACAAAAGAAAAATTGTTATCACAATGGCTGTATCTGACAATGGTCATATATATGTGGCGACCATAACTTGGGTCTACATAACTTGGGTCTACTTGGGTCTGGCTTCCACGCAGTTTCAGAAATAACCTAGACTGACCTGAGAGACATCCTATCCCCAAGTACAAGTGAATTATGCGGGTCGCAAAGCCACTGACGATGTAGCCGGCAGCTGTGAGCACCCCTCCTAACATGATGGTCGGGCGGAAACCTATGGTGTTCGCCAAGGCAGTGCCAACCGGAGCTACGGAGAGAAAACAGACACGTTTTTGACATACGCGGTAACAACGGACCCAACAATACCCCATACAAGTCCCACCAAAAATCCCGATAAACCCCACGACTCCAATTGGCTCCAAATAGAACACGCGTTCTGTTCGAATGTCCGCCGGTGACCCGAAATGGAACACGCGTTCTGTTTTGAAGACCTGTGCCCAACAATAGAGCGTAAAAGCATTCCATAAAGTAATAATCTGAGACCCTTTTGGTGGAAAGTTTAAAGAAGACTAAACCATAACTGAAGTATCGCCTTGATTACAATTATTGTTCCACAAAACGCGTAAAAGCAAGATTATAAAGATATTCGTTTGCACGGTATTGTAATCGCTATACAAGCATATGCGGTAAAATCGATAAAGTTGAACCATGGAGGTAGAAAAAAGCATGGTTGAACTAACATAGGAACAGCGCGACACCCATCAGGATGGAGCTTATCCACGCCGTCTCCGCGGCGCTGGCCTGAAACTGCTGGCTGAACGTCAGGAAGAAGACTCCGAGGGAGCGGAAAATCCCGCCCACGCAGCCGTAAACAATGAACCCGGCCAGAACCACCATCCAGCCCCAACCGCCGTCCGGAGGCTGAGGGCGGCTCTCTGGGTCCGCCATGGTTTCTCTTCAGGGGGGTCTAGGTTGAACTTAGAAAGAAAACGACATGAATGACTACCAAATTAACATTCCTGGTTACCTTCTTTCTGCCTTCAAGCCATCATTACAACGTTAACGCTTTGGCTTATAACAATAAAACACTATTACTTAGCTTCTGGGGGCGTAGCATGGGCGAGCGCCTTTGGCAGCTTGTTTACATGGGACAAACTACAAAGTCTCAAAGTTCAATTCTCATGAGCTGAACTGGTAATAAACACGTAGTTGCATTGACATATTCTCAACCTGGCGAGTTTTCTGTCGATTTTCTAGGGTTTTAAACGATCTGTAGCTCTTGTTTTGTACTGCGATGTCTAAAGCAACAAATAACACCTCATTAACAGGCAACATTGCCGTTGTTGTACGTACTCATACCTTCACGGCAGCACGCCAGGCCAGGGTTCAGGTACGGAGTGAACTCTGATCCCCAGTGTACTCTAGCTTGCTGGGTCGATGACCCCAGGTTTGTCTGCTCGCTGGTGGCTGTAATCATCATGGCTTATTGATCTTAGTGGCCTCCCGGATCATGATTGCCTGCCTGGTAGTATGGTAAACATGCTACAGTGACGCCTTCCACATCAAACTAACGTAGTGGAGGGACCTGTAACGTGACGATACTGCAACAACTGCTTATGAGCTAAATTGCATCATTCTTGTCTTGACTTGTCTAACTTTTGTTCCCTTTTGGACTTTCAAAAAACTGTCTTTATTTATTATCAGGCAACCAAGATTCGGGCATAGTTTGTATATCTTACAGCTGGTCAGCATAATTATCTTACGCCACGTCGTTTGATTTGTTCATTTCTTTCCTTCTTCCTCCCATGAGAGAGCAAAGTAGAAGAACAACGAAAAGAAAGAAAACGCCTTCTCGTTGCGTTACACATTTCCTCTTGTACTTTGATACATACAGATTAAAAATAACACACCAGAGTATTTACATTCCAGCGATTCCTGTAGATGCATAGCAAATAGATATTACAAGAATCAATTATGTTATGTAGTTCTTATTTGAAGTATGGTGACAAATATTTGTCATCGACATAATGTTATGTAAGTAGCACTTTGAGGGATAATAAGTAGCTAAATAGCCCGCTGTAACCCTTACTCAGGTGTAGGGACTGACACGGTCATACTACTCGGAAAATCTGTATCTCTATATCTGTACATGAATCTCTATCTGTGCATGAATATGTACCTGTACATGAATCTGTATCTGATTGCAAATAAAGATATCGAGTGATTGCCAAACTAAATAGCCCACTACATTTCACTAAAAAATTGCAACAATGATCACACAGCGGTTTCACGTTCAGGTACCAATAAAGTCTCATTCTCAAAGTCCCCTTCACTGTTTGTGGCGAGTCCGCCGGCTCCTCCGTCGTGTCCGCCGGCCGTTTCTTCCTGAGCCGCAGGAGGAACGGCAAGAGCCCGGCCAGCAGGAAACCGGCGCCGGCTTGGAGGAACGTGGCGTCGTAACTTCGGGTCTCGTCGAACAGCCAGCCTGGACAAACATTTAGGAATTTGGCATTTAGTTTGTGATACGTTTGATTCAACGGAAACCAAAGAGTTACGTTACCAATGAGTTGCGTTACCTTAACATGGCTGATGAACCACGAAGTAAACTTGTCTTACCCTTTCACCACCATCTCTTCTAATCATGCACCATGTGCTGATGAGGGGTCTTTGTTTTAACCAGATTACCAGTAGTATTTAAATGAAGGTCTGCAAATACAGTTTTATTACTTCAATCTTTCTATTGTTCCACAAAGCGTTCGTAACGTTTCAAATTTTATTTCTCTACACAAACCTGCAAACGGTGGACCAGCCAGCGATGCAAACCCCTGTATTGACGCCAGAATGCCGAGCGCACTTGGAAGACGCTCTGGGCCCACCAGGTCGGCCACGCAAGTTGCTGTCATCGGAAGAAACGCTCCGTAGAACGCCCCGTTTGCGATAGCGTACGCCACGAGCGCCGGGTACGTCTTGGCGAGCGGAAACAGGAGGTTGGTGACGCCCAACAGGCACAGACTCAGTCCGTACTGGTCAAACCGACTGAACCGTGAGTTGTCCGGGATGGCCCCGACTGCTAACCGACTGACCATGTCCGCGATTGAACTTACTGTGAGAAGGGACGCCGCCGCGTAGTCCTCGATCTGCAGCTGCTTGGCGCGAGGGATGATGTACAGTCCTGGCACGTTGATAACGAACTCCTTTATAAACAAGGACGCCAAGAACAGGGCCACGGAAGGTATCAGGATCACTTTAAAGTTCATCTGTGCCCAAAACTCTTTTAGAAAGTTCGCTGTATCTGTGAAACATTTCTTTCTATTTCCGGTTTCCAGTTCCATGTCTGACTCGTTGACTCTGCTGTTTCCGAGGCTATTTTCGACCTTCCTGTGTCTGTAAGCCTCGAGAGGTCTGATCAAGGCTCCTGCTACCACTATATTCAGCATAATGCCGCCAATAATGAGCAGGGCGCCTTTCCAACCATACTCGTCCATCAGGTACTGGAAAAGTGGCGGGAACGCCATGGATGCGACACTTGAGCCCAGCATCAGCAAGCTTGTGGCCATGGCTCGTCTTCTGGTGAAATACTGCCCGACAATCGCTACAGCAGGGCTAAGACTTAGGGCATATCCAAGGCCTGTTTGGAACAAAGAAAAACGCTTGTTACCACTAACAGCTACTGGTGAAATTTAAGGTTATCCAAGCAAGTCCAAGCATGCATGCGACACCGATTGTATCTGAGTACGTTTGAAATCCAACCAGTGAACAGTTCCAGAAATGTCCCGGACTGACCTGTCAGACATCCAATTCCCAAGTACAAGTGAAACATGCGGGTAGCAAAACCGCTGACGATGTAGCCGGCAGCTGAGAGCACCCCTCCCAACATGATGGTCGGGCGGAAACCTATGGTGCTCGCCAGGGCAGTGCCAACCGGAGCTACGGAGAAAAAAGCAGGCACATGTTAGACATGAACGGAAGCAAAAGGACCCAACAATACCCAGTATGAGTCTCCCCAAATCCTATAAGCTTCGCGAGTCTCGGTGACTCCG